TTCTGGGAGCCTTCTTGCACAGCAGGGAGTGACCTTAGGTGTGTGTGTGTGAGCCAACATCAGTCTAGAGAGGTGAGCAATGAAAAATAGAGGAAGAGCCAGCATAACTTAGGCACAGCTGTGTCTTTTCATCTCACTGACTCCAAAGAGCATACTGAAGTTGAGCCTAGACAGTGCCACATAAGGGAAACTATCCTGCTGAAAGCCCAAGCCAAACAACACAAAATTACTCAAATAAAAGTTATCTATAGAAGAATGATCAAATCTCCCAGGATCCCAAGAGYAACACAAAATCATTAATCTTTCTCCCAAATTTGCTTGTTACAGTAGACAAAAGTCTTTATTACACTGATTTAGACAAAACAAAATATTTGTATTCTTTAACATGGAATAGTATATTAAGTATTAACATAGAGGGGCTTGGTTATATTTTCTTTATTAATCTAGCAGGAATCCTGTTTTCAGTATGTTCTGCAGTAGAGGATTCCAATAAGTCCAATCCTKTATTACTTTCAAATATTGAATCTTTTTTTTTTTTCTGTGTATCCTTTTCAATGGCACCATAAAGCAAATTACAAATAAAAATATGCAGTATTTAATGGAAAAATATGGAGTATCCTCAAATACAGATTTGCTATGGATCATCTGCCTGTTGGTTCATCAAAGACCCAAGTTGGTTTATSACTCATAAACAATCAACTGGGACTGTGTTCTGGGCAGTGCTCATGGTGGGCAGTAGTCTGAGCTTAAATCCTTGTTGTGAAGCTGCTTGTGGTGGCTATGATCATTTAATGCATAAACAGGACAATACTGGGAAGGAATAAATAGGATGTGCCTTTGTGGATGACACTAGTGAGATTATTATTGGCATAGTGGCTGAAATCCTGAAGTCAAATAGGAGTCAAATCAAGTTCTGTCACTGTCTCCAGAAGAACTGGGATTTTACTCGCCACTTTTGTTACCTCTGCCCACATTTTAAAAAGAACAGTGAAAGGACTGGGAATTATGAAGAATATGAGAAGAGGCCCACTCCATGCAAGTTATCGAAGATAAGTATATGCTAGCACCTTCTAGTAGTAAAAGCCTAGCATGAATTTTGCAGTAATGAAAGGCTAGTATCAATATCTAGAAAATAGAGTTATTCAAATTCAAATTAGATCTAAAGTACAACATTTTGGCAGAGAGAAGTTACTCATTGGAGTAACTGGGGGGAAAAAAAAAAAAAGGATGCAATGGATTTTTCAAGACTGAAGGATTCTTAAGATGAGACTGGATGTCATCCAGAAGAGACAGACTGTGAACCCTCTGTTTATCCCRCCTGGCTTTCAGGACCTAAATGCCACATGGTTGGCCTGATCTGTGCATCAGGTTCCCTCCTAGGTGTTAGGGGACAAGCCACTGTTTTGAGTTGCCTATCCCTCTTAGCTAGCTCTGGAGGAAGCACAGACACAATGCTAGAGTTGGCTGATYTGTGCCTAGACAATATTTGAACCCTTCCTTCCCTTCAAAGCAGAGTAGCTTTATTCAAAGCCTGTGCCTGTCTGGCACTGGATGCTTTAATGTGGACTAACAACAAGCTGGGGTTGTGCGATGTCCTGCTCTGACATGGATCTTTCCTGACCCCAAGGTTGATCAGCTTGTACCAGAAGTGTTATTTGGTGCTGGTCCTTGTACCAGCATGGTCCATCCTGCGCACTGTATGGGAAGCTGTTTTGTGTGAATACAGATATTTCTGTGATTTTCTTTCTGAAATCTGCCTTTCTCGTGAGTGAGGACTAGTAACCGTACTGGGGGCAAAGACAAGAAACCAAAGGCCTCTTAGCACTGTGTTTGCAATTTTAAATGCTTTAATTAACTCTGTTCTAAACCCCTGTAAGAGATTAACAGAAAAAAAATAGATAACAAATTAACGTTTTGCTTTAGTTGTTCATCTGCAATGCTTGCTGCTTGATATGGTGCTTCACGCTTAATGTCCATCAACATCATTTACCAAATTACTTACACATCCTGCTGCAGCACCCAGGGGCCAGGCTGTCTCTGAGCATGCAGAGATGGAGCTGCCAGCTCCATCACCTGACCTGAGGCCTGCGGGGGATGTGGTGCTGCTTTGGGCCCATCTGCACCTAAGGTCTGCCTTGACACTTGGTACATCCACATTACCAGAGCTGCTCCAYAGCCACAGCTGCCCTTTGGGAAATAAGACCATTTTTTCCCTAAAACAAACTGGATTCTTTGTATTAACAATCAGTCATTAGAAAACAACAGGATTTCTTGATGAGAAAAATAACAAAAATATCATCATGACTTGTTTCAGTTGGAGAAAARGCATCTCCATCACAGAGAAGGTGCATTTTCTCTAATCAACCATGTGCTTTTCCCATGCTGGCTTGTAAAAAGCTTGTCTGTTGACTGAAAGATGGGWACACATGGAATTTGGCTGGAAAAAAAATGTGGTTTTAATAATCTCAGTGGAGAATTTGTTGATAATACTTTGTTTGTGCTCTTCAGAAACAATCTGTGCCTCTGTTGGATAGAAAGTGATACAAGGAAAATTATGGTGGTTGTTTTCACTTCACTGTGAAGAAATGCTGTTGTGATAGGCTGAACCTTGAAGACAGGAGGCAATGGAAATGAATGTAGTGCAAGGAAAGGAATGAATATGATGCAAGGAAAGCGACGTTTGGGTTGTGATTCTGAGCCAGTCAGTGCTCTGGGGTGGATTTGTTGCCTAATCTGAAAGAAGCACAGGTGGCAGGAAGAGCAGCACAGTCCTGCCCTCCTCCCCTGCTCTGGACTTGGGAAATTTGTAGTTGTTTCTTCCCTGCAAGGACATCCCATCCTTCCAGCATGTCCCTCCATCTAAGAGTGGGACAGTGCGAATGAGCACCCGTCTTTCTTGGTGCCCGGCCACAGCTTTTTTCATGAAAAAATAATAAAAATAAAAAAAMMCACAGAAACCATCTGGATACTTTGTTATGTTGAAAAATATAATAAAAGATCGGCATTTGGGTTTGTGTATAATGAGTCAGGTACTAAACTAAATACTTCCATATATCACCATAGATTTTTGTAGTATAGATATAGATACGTAGCCGATAATGGCAATTTTAAGTTACTAAACCTCCATCCTGAGTGTTGTGAAGGGAAAAAGAAAGAGGTATCTCACTTCTGATTTCCTAATGTTTATGAGCAGCTCACATATCACACATCAAAAGGACAATTTTGCTGGATATCTTCTTCCTCACTTTCTTAATTATGGCCATCTAAAATGCGTATTTTAAAGTTTTGGGGCTCTGGGTGACAGATTTAGAGAGTACAAAGTAGCCCAAGAAAGATAAATTTTCCTATTTCCTTTTTTTTTTTTTTTTTCAGTTCCATGCATGAGATTCTTTACTGCACTTTTTCTTAAAGCCTTCACTACTGGTATCACAAGCTGACACTGAGAAACACAAGATGAGCAGCTTCAGCTCCCTTTGGATCATATTGGTGGATCCCATGCTCCCTTTGGATCATATTGGTGGATCCCATCCCATTTTAACCCAAAACGTTAACAGCAGGACATGCTCTGTCTGATGAAAAGGTTTACAGTTCAGCTTTCACATTGAATATGTAAATTCTGGTATTTTCAGTTTTGAGGACAGAAAAAAAGTATCCAGAAGCAAACAAACAAAAAATCCATAACGCATATGTTTAATCTAAAAGATATTCAATTTTTTTTTCCTCTGGGTATAAGGCAGAACACAGAAGTAGTTAAAATTGTTGCTTTACAGCACTTTGAGGATGAGCTCTGTAACAACACAATTCTGTGCTGCTGAAACAAAGCTCTAACACTGCGTTCTGCTTCATGAATTAATTTAATTAGTTATTGGTTGCATTTGAGATGGAACTGAGCCAAGAACCCAGAATACAAACTCAAGCTTAATGTGTGTGCAGTGTGAAGAACCAAATCTGCACTCAGCTGCAGATGTTCTGAGCAGGGCCTGAGCTGAGCACTAGGCTGGGAGGACCTGCCCATGGCAGGTGCTAGAAATGTTAACCCAGATGTGCTCCCAGATGCTGTGGATAGTGCTGTGGACAGTGCACGTGGTGGATTTAATCTGCACTTCTAATTGCAGAATTCTCATTCTAAGGGCTTCTYTGAGCCCTTAATTAGAAACCCAGGTTGTGGGCAGTGCCACAGGTGCTTTGAGTTTCCAGTRTATGTATAACGTTATTGTGAAGGGAATATTGAGGGAATGGATTTGGCATCATATGGAGAGGAATCTCCCCTTCAGCTTGTTGGAGGTGGCAGAGGAGCAGGGCTCCAAGAGCCACAGGTGGCAGGGAGCCGAAAGGAGCTGCAGGATATTGGGACCTCTGTTATCATCCCCTATATTTGAATATACACATACGCAGTTGTGTCCTAGTAAAACACAATTGTTCTTTGCAGATCTCTAGTCTTAGCATCTTTCTTAGCATCTTTCTTAGCATCTTAGCATCTTTCTTAGCATCTGTGGAGCTGACTAAGAAATGTCAAAGGGAAGGTGATGTCAGCAGAAACTCAGAAATGATATGTACAAGGCAAGCAGAGAAACCCATAAACATCCCTAATGAAGCTGGAGTTTTATTATTAATGGCTTGTCCATACTGTGTTGCTTTAACTGCATCAGTAGTGACTCTTGGCATAATAAAAGCATTATTATATCAGTGTAAAAGTGTTCAGACCCGTGATGTAGGGTTTCAACCTGACCTAGCTATTCATGGTTATTCCCGGTTGTAAATCTCTGAGATTTATAATCAGCAGCAATCATTCTTCTAACTGGGAGAGTTACAACTGCAGAACTTTAATAGTCAGATATTTGTGCAACACGATGAATCTGAAAGAGAGCAAAGCAATGGCTGAAACAGCATTTCAAGTATCTTAAGGTATTCAAATCTGGGGAATGTTGCTGATTTTAACTTTGTTTTAGGTAGTTTAATTCATGATATCATTGTAATGTTTTTGGTTCCTTTTCTTGCAGGTTGCCTGGAGTAACTGGCTGTCGGTCAGAGGGAACCTGACAGATCTATTTTGGTTTTGTTGAACCTCTCTACCACATGTCATAAAGATTTCCTGAGTGCAGAAGCTGCACTGGAAACGACTGATCAGCGCAAAAATGTGACTCTGACAAGAGACTCCAAGCTTTTTGACAAGGAGTTTTCTACTGAACAATTTGTAATTTAAACCTGTAGCTAAGTATGAATAATACTTAAGCTGATAGTGGACAAAAAGCCTTCTCATTAATTAGGACTGCCAGAAAGCAGCCACCTGAAGGTTCAAAATGAGCACTCCGTTAATTCCAAACAAGTCATGTTACACTCAGCTTCAAGACAACCGCAGCGAAATAAAGAATAATAATGCAAGTGTAGTGAACGTGGGGGACACCAATGCCAACCAAATTGTGGCAAAAGTTAGAACCACTGAAGGTGATGCCAAGAAATGTGGTTTGACAGATGAGAGTGGGAATGTACAGCTGAGTACAGATCAGAATAAACTTCTGGCCTCTACGGAGACTCAGATATGTGACAGCAGTGTGCAGGAAAGCAAGCGGTCTCCCACCCCAAACAGGCAAATGGGGAAAGAAGGTAGGACCAGTGAAGCAAGGGAGATATCGAGGCACATCAGGATCAGCCGAGGACAAAGTCTGTCCAATCTGAAAAGCAGCACCAATGATGCCAACCTTGGAGTAGTTTCTAAAGGGGATACTGACTTCACCCAGAACTTTTCTAAGGGTAAAATGGCCAGGACTGTGGAGATGGAGAGAATAAAGAGGCTTTCTTTGGGAAGACCAAGTAAGTTTTCTGCTCAGACTGAAACATTTGCTAAGGAATGTGTTGGCCGTGTGTCATGTAAACGTTTGCTTTCTGCATCACTCGATTCTATCGACAGGTCGCACCATTTGATTGGAAATACAGAGAAATCACAAAAAACATCCACCGAGCATTTTCTCGGGATGGTGTTTCATCCACATGACAATACCTCAGAGGAAAATACTGCGTTTCGTTCTAAACCATCTACCTCAGGGAACAAGAAAACATCTAAACCAGAAACCCCAACGGATGTGCAAAGTGTGCAAAGTGTACCAAATATTAACACTGAAAGCACACTGCAAACTTCTCGTACTGATTTGCATTCAGCTATTAAGCCCAGTGAGACTGCTAGTAAATCAGAAGCACAATTAGGTCAGGGTGATAAAAGTAAAAAACTGGAGTTTAAACCTGTACCATCTCTACAATCTAAAAACATATGTCAACAAAAGATTGAGAGGATTATGCTGGTAGAATTTCTGGGATGTCAAAAAGAGGAACATGTAATAATGCAAGAAAAGAAAGGTTCTGGATCTGATGCATCAAAATTTCAAGCTTCCCATTTCCCAGACATCTGTCATAAAGCAGAGGATCCATCGCCAAGCCAGGCGGTCACCCAGCCCAGTGACAAACTGCAAAGTGCTGACAACGTCATTCCCAGGGCAGGAGGAGACAGCAGTGAGAGTGACAGCAGGGCAACTATTAGTGAGGAATATTTCACTGACAAGGAAGTGGAATCAGCGTTACCACCCACTTGTGATAACAAAGAAATACTTGGAAAAGGTGAAAATTTATGTGAAGTTGATGCAATCTGCAGTGAAACGGTGGGTGAGCAGGAATCTTTTACACAGAACAATAATCTATCTGAGAGCAAACCCTTGAAAGCTAATGAAGATAAACCAATGCCAGTCAAAGGAAACAGTGAAGATGCCACTGTGCTGCCTTCCAATCTCTCAGATCAGTCTAGAGTGCTGAGTACAGAAACGGCGTCAAATGAACAGCAAAGCAAAGAGGACAGTGAGGTGGAAACCTCCAGCTTGTCAGCTCCAAGTAAAAAGACAACGATTGCCAAGAAACTCGCCTCATATGAAGCCCCAGAGAGCTACAAAATTTCAGCGAAGGCTGAAGCCTTTGTGTGCGTTCCCACTCCCTTGCGCCCAGTGGCAACTCTGAACGTCAACAACCAGCCCGCACTAGCAAACAGCAATCTGAAGGACCTTTATGCGCTTCATGTTGACAAACTGTCACCCTCCTCAGTCCTACCTCCCATCGACAGCACGCAGTTGTTAAGCATATCCCCTAAAGTGCCTATCAAGACTGTTTGCAGCAGTGCAATCCCCAAACCCATCTTGGTCCACTCCAAGGGCTCCCTTGGAGACAAGGTTGATGTGGACAGTGACTGCAGCGAAAAGCTGGAGGAAAGCATCGAATTGAAGCCTGCCGTACCCAAGCCCAAACACGTGAGACCTAAAATCATCACTTACATTAGGAGAAACCCTCGTTCAATAGACCAGCTTGACCCGTCATTTGCCTCTGCAGGGCTGTCATATGGCGCCCCGGCATGTGGCATGCCCATCTCTAAGGAAGAGAAGGCATCAAATGGAGGTGATGTGAAGCCCTCCAACATCCTGTATGACAAATTTAAACCTGACCTCCAGAAGCCAAGAATCTTCAGTTCTGGACTTGTGGTATCAGGAATTAGGCCCCCTGGTCATCACTTTGGACCAATGAGTGAAAAATTTCTGCAGGAGGTAAGGAGGAAACTTTTGTATGCCAGATGATATTCATTTGCTTACTTGTTGATGTCAGAAATTAGTTCCCAAACCTCAAATATGAAAAATCCTAAATTCAGGTGATGTGTGATCACTAGAAATGAAATTACTCAGCTGTTTCTGGCACTGACCCTGTTGTGGTATCTGATCTGTGATTTGACTGGAAGTTGTCACTATGTTCCTGTAACATTTCCCAGCAAAAGAGTCACCTGCTAGTACTATAAATAGGGATGTWTGAAAAGAAAAAGCCATGCAGTTTGAGTATATCCATGAATGGAACTATTTTTTTCTTGAAGGAATAGCTTTGGGAAATGAACGTGATTTGCCCCCAGAGACTTTTCCTCCTTAATGGGAAACTTGGCACATATTTGCAGACAGAGCACCAGAGGACTTAATTTCCTTCTGTTTAACTCTACAGAAAAACAGGGATTTTGAAAGCATATGTTAGGTAGTATATACCTTGCAGGAAGTGGTTTCCTTTTCACTTATTTTAAAGCAGTTTATTTTGACCAGAATCTTGAAAAGATTCTCGTGACTCTCATGAAAAGGAGTCAGTTTGTGGCAGGTCTGCAATGTGGTTTACTCTAGACTAAGATTAGGGGAAAATAACTCAAAGAGAACAGTAATGGAGAAGGTCCAATGCACACCTCTTTCACTAAGTAATATAATTTTGGATAGACTTATCAAGGGACAAAAGTTTGAACCCAAGGTTGTTCAGAAACTTTGGAAGAGACACTGGGAAGGAAAAGTTAACCCAAATATAGTTTGTATCATGAGTTTTCAGTAACCTACAGATTCCTACTAGTCATTAGGGATTAGGAGTCATAGAAGCAGCAGCAGTTAGCAGGGAATCATATATGCTGGCTTGTGATGCTACTTTAACAGCAGGTACCTTAACCTCCTGATAATTAGGACAGAAGACTGATGTGTAATCGGAGGAAAACAATTAGAAGGGTTTGAGATAGTTCAAAATCATATTGGCAAATGCACAGTGCTGAAGGCTCAGAAATGAAATGAGAAGAATTCGGGGATGGATGATTACTCAGTGTTGCCATTGCAGTGGAAAAGTTTCCAGTCTGTCCTGTTTCCCATAACTGAGGCTTTGGGAGACTTTGATTAACGTTTTATAGCTCTCTGTGCTTATGATAAAGGGTATTAATAATTGCTGTCAATCAGACTTGTAATCGCTGAGCAGCCTTCAGCTAAACAGCAGGAACAATTAAATACATTTTTGGGGGAGCTAATTGCTGGCGTTTGTGGCACTTTCAGCTCTTTGAGTGCTGAAACCCTGTACTGAGTGCTGAAAGTGCTGAGCATAGTGTATTTGGGGCAGTTTTCCTTCATAGACTCTTYTCTGCCCAAAGAACATGGACTGAAGCCTGTTGAGCCCAAAGAGCATGGACTGAAGTGGAAGGCCTGTTGAAAGGGGTAAGGGAAGTGGGCTTTGCATATAGGTAAAACAACATATTTTCCCCCCTAATCTCATTATCTGAAATGACTGAAGCAATTTTGCTGACTCTTTTCCAAAATAATTGCCTGAAGCAGGCACTTGACAAGAAAGATTCTGCTTGAGGCACTTGGGTTTGACAGTGATATAAATGAAGTAACGTGAAGGCAAGTGGTGAACAACTTTACCTATTGGCAGTGTTGCCAGTTTTGCTTAGAATCACCCAGGTTATGGAAATTTCTGTAGATTTTACGTATTTTCTATAGAGTTTCCATCCCTTTCTAGCACATGCATTAAATGGAGTGTGTGGGAAATATAGTCACACACAATAAAATTATGAACTGAAGGGAGTCCTTATTTTTAGTTAAAAGGTTTCGACAGCCCTTTAAAAGTCTCTCATGCAAAAATCTACCAAACACTAACAGGAGTCATGTTAGTCCAGATCTCTCTGAACAGCCTTGGAATGGCCCAATAATCCCATCTGATTCTGTTGGGGCCTGTTGAACTTCATGAATTCACTTCATGAATTTGCTGATAAATACAAAATAATAAATAATATTATGCCTTCATAGCAAGCTTGTGTCTTCCTGCAAATTATTATCTTTGAAAGAGATATCTATTTCCTGAAAAATAGTTGGGGAAATCCTTCCCATTTACCCCAAATAAGCTTATGATTGTATTTGTGTTCATGTTTGTGTTCCTTCCTTATGTGCTACATGTAGTACAGCATCAGTAAAGATAAAAATGTAGTGACTGAAGGTTTGGCCAGGTTAACTCAATTTATCAAAAATGCATGGTTTCTATTTTTAATGTTCTTCTCTATTTCTTATTCTGACAAACTTGGCATCATTGCCAGTTAAATATGATAGGAAGTATATAAGGAAATCTCATTGAATAAGCTCATCAGAGAGAAAATCATAAATGATTCTTGTGCAGGAAAACAATCTCATAGACAGAATTTCAAAATAAGAACAGAGAATCTAAACAAAAAAGCCTGCATCCAAACTTGCTGAAGTACATCATAGAAATATAATWAAAAAAAAGGAAAGGAGAAGATCTACTTCATGAAAACAGGACTGCAAAAATAGTGAAAAACATAGAGCAAAAATGCACAGTACCTCTTGTATCTGTCCTTTTAGTTTCCTGTGCAAAAATTTTAAAAATTCTAAACTCAGTAATAGTTTAAGGCTAGTTATGTATCTTTTAGCATATTAAAAACTTACTAAAATAGGATTAAAGCTCAAGGAGTGGCTAGGATCAAAGCTTTTATAGCTAATGTTCAAGTGCATGTTCTAAATGCTTATAATTGCTAAGTAGAAACCGATTTGGCATATTATATGCATCATAGCTTACAACAAAACTAATTAATCGGTGGTTGCATTTCTTCTTAGGCAGCCTATGGCACTTTTTTGATTAATTTTTCAACAAATCTAGCCCTGATTTCCTGTTTCCTAAGCCTGCTTCTTTCTTTCCTCTCTCTGTCCTAAATGGGATGCACTGAAAAATTAAGTGTGTCCCTGCTAGGTTCTRTAGTTTTATATTTTATAAGAAGATTCTGCAGTAGTTGGAGTGTACCCAAGAGCATTAGATGAGGGTCAAGGAGCAAATAAGTCCTAAGAAATGAGTGAGGTAGAGGGGGCAGATCTGCTTCTTCACCCAGCCATGGCCAGCAGCACACAGGGCAGGCAGCCCTAGGCAGGGTCCTGCTCACGGGGAGGAAGGTTCAAGGGCCAAAGCAGGGAACCAGCTCATTCCTCAGCCCTTAAATTCTTGGATAACAGTCAGTTTACTTGAAAAACTTCCAGCTTGGGGCTTACTGTGCTATCCTCACAATATATTCCTGTTAAAACACTGAGAGATCTGTTGCTAATTTTAGTAAAGAAACCTCTATTTATGATAAAGAGTACATGTTTTACATTGGCAAATCATTTTTGTACTTGCTTTTCTCTACTGCTCAGCTACATTTTATAGCTTTGATCTGGAAGACTCCATAAGCGCTCAAAATGATAACCTAGCATTTTGATAGGTTATCATTATATGTAAGTGCAAGAAACTTGTGCTCCTACAAAGCTGTGTTGCTTTTCTGAAACCTCAATGACATGGACTACTATGGACATAGTCCTCCTGGAACAGACTCCCTATGTCCAAATTGCATCTCAAAGAGAAACATTTTGAMTAACTTCTAATAAAAATGCCACATTCCACTTTTGCTGCATTTACCGCTCTAACTAACCTCACCTTTCTAGACTTAAAAATAACTTCATTATTTGAAACTTTTAATCTATTTGTTTATTTTTCTGAGATAGATTAGTCCTTTATTTGGATTTGTGCCTGGAATATTCATGGATAGGGATTCATATGGTTAGACTATCCTTTTCTGAAAGTTATTTTGCAGTAGTGTGAAACCAAGACTCACAAGGGGGGGAAATTACCCTTTATAAGCCATTGAGAGTGCCAGAATCTGTGGATGATGATTTTATTCCATAATACCTGTTTTTTTGTTTTTTTTTTTTTAACAGGTTGGGGAAAGGCCTGTGAAAGATGAATTTTGTCCTCCACCCTATACTCACTATGAAGTCCCACCGAGTTTTTATAGATCTGCAATGATACTTAAGCCCCAGTTAGGACTGGGTGCAGTTTCAAGGCTACCGTCTGCAAAGAGCAGGATTCTCATTGCAAGTCAGAGATCTTCAGGCTGTCTCCATCAACCAGGAGAAATGACAACTGCTCCCGGCCTCTATCATCCTGATACTTCGGGTAAACTATGATCTTTTCTTTCTCTTTTCTTTTAGCTACAGTCACCAATTTGACTTTTTTTTCAGTCAGAAATACCACAAAATGAGCAATCTCTTGACCTGACACTACAAAGCTCTAATAGCACTCTCTGAGGAGTGTTTTTTTGCAAGACTGGCTATGGAGACTGGTGCTTGCAGAAAAAAAAAGTCAGTTTAACAGATCATTGCCAAAGAAGGAGGATTGATTTCAGTGATAATTCTCACAGAGCTCTTTTTGATCTCCCTCCTTCTTCTAAAGGTGTGAAAAAAACCTTTGCTTTTGCCCCGTGGAAGATAATGAGACATTTTCTTCTATTGTGAAGACCTAGTTTTTCAATCCGAGTATGCYGGTGCCCTGTGCTCTCCTCTGTTGCCTTGGCAGTGCTCAGCTGTGCTAGCAAAGAGCTTTGCCTGTGAAGACTCCAGTGCTCACCTCCTTGGAGACACCTGCTCCAATACCTCCTGCTTCCAGCCACGACGCAGGGCACAGCGTGACCTTGGGCAGAATTACAGAGGAAGGAAGGGCCAGAGAGGAAAAACAGAGGGGCAAGTGTCTGATGCCTCAAGACAGAGATAATTACTTCTACAGCACACTTCTTCCAGGAAACTAGGAAAGTCCTCAAGGTTTTAACAATGTACATTTAAGCAGCAGCAAGTTCACTGAAGATCAGTCATTGCCAGAGTGAAACAGAGCAGCTGCTTGATATCTGCACTGGCAGGTAGAAAATAACCGTAAAGAATAACACCGTGGTGTCTATGGTCTGGCCTTTTGCTATAGGATGCCTTCTGATACACATTCATCTATAAACCCTCCAATTCAAGAGATCCTACAGGCTCCTCCAATGCATCACCTGCTTTGGAGTAGGTTTCCAGAGCTTATGGTTTATCAGAAAAAACAAGGAGTTCTGTAACCCAGGGCCCTTTGCCACTAACCCCATTTATTTTTACACCTGGAGTTTATCCACACTGACGCCATTTGCAGAAGTTGACGAAACTCAACCGCATGCAATTTCTGAGATKAAGCACGGGGGTAGTAAAATTCAGCTTGGCGCTGTGAGTAGAGTGTAGTCAGCACCCACCATGTGGAAAGAGGTTGCAGAGAGCAACCGTTTAAATGAAACTGCTGGAGGAGGCTCCAGGTTCAGCCATGAGTAGGATAAGCTGCTGCCTCCCAGCAGGCCTGATAGATAGATAGGGGAGGAATATGTGAGTCCTATTGAGATACCCAGTGTCTTGTCTAATCTTCAGAAATTAACGTTGCCTTGATTTTCTGTTGTCCAACTTAATTACCCTGAACCAGTGATTATTACAGACATTATTTTCCTAGATATTTCTTTATCCATAAAGGAACTTGCCTTGTACCTACTAATCTACTGTTTTCTTGTATTAAGTGACATTCTAAATCTAAAGAGTATCTGCCTCAAACCTGTTTGCTTTCTGTAATACTGCCTTGAAAAATTCCAGACAATGAGATGTATACATGAGGAAATTGCACTAGCTCCTACAAATCAATACCTGCTTCTCGTAATTTTTCTAAAGTTGCTTTTCTTTTTTTTTTTTTGGCCATCTTATTACTTTTAGTTCCTTGGATGTGTCCTGTGCTCCAGGAAAATTTAATTCTTAGCTCTCCGTCACTTCCTTCCTATGAATGTTATTTTGCTTGTTTCTTTCAAATCTATTTATGCCTTGCTCTCTCAAAGATATTATTAAAGATAATTTATGACAGACTAATAATCTGCCATTCAGGTTCCCAAAGCATGCCCCATCTAGTCTTTGGAGTCTGTCTGTTTTTACTGATTTTAAATTACCCAAGAGTTTTTCTTTAGAAGTTGCTAATATCTTCATTATTTTTGCTTTTCTGCTAATGTATCTGCCAGTGCATTGCTTTCACTTCTGCCATCTCACTTCCATTTTCCTTGTGAGATGAAGAACTTTTAACTTTTTTTTCTGCAAAATCTGCAGCTCAAGGTTGCTCTTACAAGAAAGAGCTTTAATAGGTACTGAATTCACTAAAAATATAATTTTGGGGGAGAGCTAAAATAAATGGACCTGGTGCAACATATTCCATCTCATCAAGAGAACAGACACACACAGCAGTGTCCATCTATCATATCAGCAAGCTACACTTGTATCTAAATGAATAACATGGACCATATAAAGACAATTGTTTCAAGGCATTCAACATCTTTTTTTTCCACCTTTCTGTCATCCTATTCCCTTGAATTTGGCAGCTTGATGTGGTATTATGCTATTCCAATCTGCATTAATATTTTTGATCCAATATTTGAAGAACAGGCCAGACTAGTTTAGAGCGGTTGAATTCGTTTACAGTCATGTAAATATAAGCAGGATACAGTCATTACCAATATAAGCAAGCAAAATGCATAAAGTGGTGCTGGTAGGAGCTTTGCTCGTGGCTGTTCTGCAGTGGGAGGCTTTGGCTGGCTACAGCAGGAGCCAGGGGGACTGCTGGCAGCAATACCCATCAGCATCTTTTGCAGCTGGATCCTGGGCTTTTAATCCCACAAACCTGCTAGGGATTTCAGCCTTGCCCTGGGGTAATGAGAACAGAAGTATCCAGCCAGTTGCTCTCTAGTGACAAAGTGTGAGGTACCACTGAGGCTTTCAAAATGAAATTGCAGTGCCCCAGTATTGAGGACAGGACCAGTGCCTTGTAATGAGGATTTTATTCCCCTCTGCCATGCCTTTCATAATGTAGCAGGCGGCTTAAACAACACTGATAAGCTGCGAGCTTGGCYCTTGTATAATACTAGTTCTCATAAAACTGGTTCTGAAATAATTGATAATTAAATCCATGAACTGCTGTGATGGACTACAAGAACATTAAGGATTTTGCTCATTTTAAGCCACGGCAAGGAGAAAATAAAATGATACTGTGGTTCGCCAAGTGTGATATCTAAGATGTGACCAGAGCAGTGATCATTCTTCATCTGCAGGACACTTGACACATGCGCTGGTATGGGCTACGACTTCCTTATTGAATGGTGCTCTTCTTTAGATGATGCTATTTATTGRATGGGTGAGGTGGGTATTATTTCTATGAGGAAAAATATTCTGCACTGTCCAGAACATAGCAAGCTGTTGAATTGTGATGTATTTAAAGGGACATTAATATCTGTGAGAGCTTAGTATTTGTTTATTTTATATAAATTGACTACTCTTTCTAAGGGAAACATGTAATTCAAAATAAGCATTAAGGGATGCTGTGTCTATAGCGTATAAATTATGAATATAGTTTCCTTGCTTATAAGACTTCTTAGAGCACACAAGTTAGTATTTACATTAATTAGCTGATAATTTTTATGAGGTTAATGTCTGATTTTGAAAAGTAAAGCAGAAATTTCATCATTAAAGCTTCACTTAATTTTACTCTTTTTTCCACTAGTATTTATGGTAATTTTTTCTCAAAGGATAGGTTAATGAAATGTTGTTTCCTTATCAGCTCAGTGTATATTAAATTTGCCAGTCCTGAGGGTCTAGCAACCCTCATTTCTAAACAAATCAAATCCTGTTAAAGGTACCATCTCAATATAAATAAGAAAAGAAAAAAACTTGATTTACTCAGGTATACACAACATACACTTATTTTTCTGTATTTGTAGCTCATCATTAATGCTATAATACATCTACAAGTTTCTCCTGGTAGGATTTCAGCTTTTTTTCATATGAGTTCTCAGGAATACCTAATACTTAAACAAGAAAATGAGATTTGATGATCGAAAAAGGACTTAGAGGTTATTTCCTGAAATGTTTCATTAATGCTACTCCAGCTGTATGTTTATTTCCCAGTTTTGCAGTTTGACAGACTTGGATTTGAGCTGTCAGACTTCTTGATTTGTTTAGAAAAGAGGTTCAGAAGGACAGAATTCAGAGAGGAAAATATTCTCTGTCCCCCACTAAAATCTGTAATGGTTTCAGTTGGCACTGTCTTCTCTCTCTGGGAGAGCAATCTGAGTCTATCTCTCAGAGAAAGAGAAAAAAGAAAAATAGAAAAAAATAAAATGCTTCTGTGAGAGACATGCATCTCATCAGGAGAGTTCTGCTAATGGCATCACCATACTCAAGACCTTGCCAGGTGCCACCCCTCTACTTCACAGAATCACAGAATATTCAAGGTTGGAAGGGACCTCTASAGATCATCTAGTCCAACCTTCCYGCTCAAGCAGGCACACCTRGAGCATGTGGCACAGGGTGGCAKCCAGGCGGGTTTTGAAGACCTCCAGAGWAGGAGACTCCACAGCCTCCCTGGGCAGCCTGTTCCASKGCTCTGTCACCCTMACAGTAAAGAAGTTCCTCCTCTCCTGGAGATGGAACTTCCCRTGTTTCAGCTTATGGCCATTACCCCTCATCCTATCACTGGCCACCAGTGAAAACAGCTTGTCCCCTTCCTCCCTGCATTCTCCCTTCCTGAACTTATACATGTTAATCAAATCCCCTCTCAGCCTTCTCTTCTCCAGAGAAAACAGGCCCAGCTCACTCAGTCTCTCCTCATACGAGAGATGTTCCAGTGGCTTAATCATCTTAGTTGCCCTTCTCTGGACCCTCTCTAGGAGCTCCACATCCCTCTTATACTGGGGWGCCCAGAACTGCTCCCAATACTCCAGGKGCGGCCTCACCAGAGCTGAGCAGAGGGGCAGGATCCCCTCCCTTGACCTTCCAGCAGTGATTGACTGCATTCTTCTATATCATAACTCAAYTGTAACTCAACAGTCATATAAATGTTATCTGTAATTATCTGTGTACAATAGAAAACAAATGCTGAAGTAATGTTTAACCGCTGCATGCTTATAGGCAACATCTGTGTTGTTACTTACTCCTAGAAGATCTGCCTGGATGCATTTCCATCATGTGCTGGGAAGTAGAGGGAAGGGATTGAATGTAATTCCATAGTTGCTCGTGGGTGAAATGAAAAGGAGAAGGTGAAAGTAAAGAAGGAGATTGGATAATGAAAAAGAGCAGGTC